CCAGATCAGCAGCAGCACCAGTGAGCGGTGAGTTAGCAGCATGCGAGTCAGTCAGAGCCGCCACCGAGCGAGCAATACATGTTACTGTTGCGGAGGTATGCACCTCTCCGTGAGTGCCTCTGTCTAGTTTTGTCATGTTTATATGGCGTGTGTGTGGTGTAGTGTGTGGTGTGTGTGTGTGTGTGTTGTGTGTGCTGCGTGCGTGCTGTGTCGTGTGATGTGTGTGTGTGTGTGTGTGTTGTTGTGTGTGTGTGTGTGTAGGTGTGCTGTGTGTGTGAGCATCGTACGATCGATGATCTAGATGCGTAGTCACACGTGTGCTCGCATCGTCGCTGTACGCTCCTGGCTAGTAACGCATGTGTGTGTGGTGTGTCGTGTGTTCTGCTACGATGTACAATGCTCCAATAACAGCAGTAAACTCCTCGATTATCTGGCATTGTCGGGAACGATGGGTGCCTTCCAAGTAGGTAGTAATGTAGGTAGGTTTATCAAGCTGGATGGGTGGACGGACGAACGGACGGATGGATGATTAGACGGCGGCGGGCGGCCGAGGATGGATGGATGGAATAGATTATTGAATTAAATGCAATAAATAGATGGAATAAATAAATAGATAAAAAGATGGATGAATAGATGAAATAAAAGCAATGAATATAATAGATGGATAAATAGATGATAATGAAATAGATCGTTAGACCGTGGAAGAGAGATGCGGAGGGAGGTGCGAGAGAAGAGAATGAGGCGCAGGAAGTGAGAAAGAGAGAGAGAGGAGAGAGAGAGGAGAGGAAGAAGAAGAAGAAGAAGAAGAAGAAGAAGAAGAAGAAGAAGAAGAAGAAGAAAGAAAGAAAGAGAGAGAGAGAGAGAGAGAGAGAGAGAGAGAGAGATTACATCATTATTAAAACTTTAGTGAACATAATTAGGTGTTATTCGCTATCATGATGTTATTTGACGTCCCTCTGAGTGGCTGTGGTCTTCCAGGCTCCTGCGATCGACCTACTCCCGCCACTCGTTTAGAATGCCTGGCGGCAAACGCGTCCCAGATTTGGAATGTCACTTTCAGCTGCGTGCGTGTGTGTGTGCGTACGTAGGGGCTTGCATGTCAGCCTGTTCTGCTAGCATTTATGACAAATACGACATGCGCATATACGCTCTCCTATGACAATATTTGTTTAGGAGCGCTATTATGAACGCAAGCAGTGAATTTCAGCTGTAAAGCGAAACGAAGTTGACTCGCCAATATTTGTCATAGAAAGAATCTTCCTATGGCAAATTAATAGCGTCATAGGAGAGCGTATATGCGTATGTCGTATTTGTCATAGATGCAAGCAGAACATGTTGTGCGTGCGTGCAGGCGGTCGTGCGAGTGAGCGTGCAGGTGGGCGGGCGTGCGGGGAATGGGCTGACTAGCCGACAGGCGCGCTTGGCTGCGTGTGTGCGTGCGTGCGTGCATGCGTGCGTGCGTGCGTGCGTGCGTGCATGTGTGCGTGTGTGTGTGCGTGCGTGCGTACGTACGTGCGTGCGTGCGCATGTGCGATGCTGGGCATACATGGGATTGTATGCAGCGCCAATGTTTGCGTTCTATGTAATATGCCTTAGTGTTTATTCGTCGTTGTTATGAATGCGTACGTAATGTATGTGCGCAGGATAGCTTGCTAAATCTATCTATAGATGCGGGTTGTAAAACATATGGGGGAGCATGCAGAAAAAAGCATGGTATGGGGTTTTATAACTCCATGCTTGAGTTTTAGTAGCATGGTACGACGAGGAATAGAGCGATATTCGACTGCTATGGTGTGTCAAAACAATATATATATATTCTACATAGTTCTAAGCTGCGTATGTGAAATAGTGACGTTGTGCGCATGGGCGCTATGTCAGTATTTCACATACTGGCGGACGGATTAACTGCAAGAGTACATAATAGGATATTATTTACTCTTGATATATACGACAATACATATTAGCAGAGGTTAATAATGACAAATTTGTCATTATTACCCTCTGATATTAGGTATATAGCATATACCTAAGCATCTTTCTGATAGACATTGGCGTATGACTAATTATAATGTCATCGCGGCATACTGCGAATATAAATATGCTATTTTAACGAGCCAAAAATGTATGTATGACTATACTGGCTGATCTACTGCCTACTGTATTTCAATGGCACATGCACGTGGTATGTCTCAATTTACGGATGTCTTAATGTCTCGCATGCACGTAGTGCATATTATGTGCATTTATCTCATGTGATTGCCCACAGGCACTTGGAGCGTTTCAATAAAATATAATGCTAAATAAATACGAAATCTATTTACTACCAAAGTCTTAATGTTTCGATACTTTCTTTCACCTATTATTGCCAACAATTTCCTGCATATGTCGTCCAAATGCTCATCTGCAATAAACCCTGGCTGCCGCCATGGCTGCCGCTGCACACTGACACATATATATATTTATTATATATTTATATTTATATATTTATGTGTCAGTGTGCAGCGGCAGCCAGGGTTTGTTGCAGATGAGCATTTGGACGGCATTTGCAGGAAATTGTCGGCAATAATAGGTGAAAGAGAATATAGAAACTTTAAGACTTTGGTATAGTAAATAGATTTCGTATTTATTTAGCATAATATTTTATTAAAACGCTCCAAGTGCCTGTGTGATCGCCCGTCTCTCCACACCCTGTGTGTATCCAATTTATAGCAAATGCGCTCATGCACCTAATCCATATCGAAAAAATACATGTACACGGATGCCACACGTCCGCGTTCTTACTGTCGCTAAGAACTAGTTTACTCCTTATCCGAAACGACGAGACGATTTAGTTTAGTCCTTATCCGAAGTTAACCAAAGAAAATCAAAGCTATCAGTTTAAATTACGTGTAGGCAGTGTCACACTAATACCACTGAAGGGGTCGTTGTCTTATCAGGTACTACAGATATGTACTTGAGGTACATATATGTAGTGTAAGGTGTCTATACTGTCACCTACGAGTCGAAGCCATTCTACGGGATTCTACAAGATTCACATACAGGCTTCGACCCAGGATACACGGCAAGCCAGGCAAGACCACGGCTGCCAGCGTATATAAGGACCGCCTGGGATCGACTCGGGGTGCTTCATTCTACCAGACGACCAGGAGAACCGACCGTGTAAGGATCAACACTTCTTACATTTTGGCGGCAGTCGACAGGATAGTAGTGATGTGAACTGGTTCGTTGGCGTAGTAGAATGAACGCACCCGAGTCGATCCCAGGCGGTGCCTTAATATAGCGGCAGCCGTGCCTTGGCCTGGCTGCCGTGTATCCTGGTCGAAGCCTGTATGTAATCCTGTAGATAGTCCCGTAGCCAGATGCTGTGCGACTCGTCCGGTCGACGATACGACATCCTTACAGCTCTCCCGCCTCCTTCGAAGCAGACGCCCCGACGGAGAAGTCTGTGAATGCCAACCGCATTGCCATGCTCAATGCACTAGGTACGCTTCCGTAGCATTGGGTATTGCGCGCAATCGGCTCG